ATGGCTAAAACGGAGGACAGTGGCTTCTATACAGGATCATTACTTACGTTGAATGCCAACTCATCCGATGAATATGTTAAGGGTATTTATGACGAATGGGCTGAAAAATATGACAAGGTACTGCCGCTGTCCTCATTTCAGAAACTATAAGGGCAATGGGTACAAGCTCTTGGCGTAGCGATTTCTAGGGTCGTTTGTGTGGGCAAGCGTTAATTACTTATGATTGGTTAATGGTTGCCTTGAATACCATCGACCAATCATAAGTAACGCTTGTCCAGCCAAACAATCTCGAAAGTTACTACTCCCAAAGTTTGTAATAATTCTCCCTACGTATAGCCTGTTCCAGGCTCAGAGATAGTCGGGTCCGTTGAATTGAGGAAGCGCGAACACGAAAATATAACCTTAACGCCGACTATTCGCGCGCATTCCCCACTATCTGAGAGCGTGGAACAGGCAATTCTCCCAAGAGTCTGAAGTGGGGAATTAACCACTGCTTTGAGATCTCCGACAGTAACAAAAACATCTCATTTTGTCAAGATGTAAAACTTTTGAAAGCAGTTTAAGTGAAGTACCTAAGCGAGTGGCGATTGTGCATGCGTCCTCAGTATTCCCCACGGTTTCTCTTTCTGTATATTTTGTTTACTTCGTTCCTCTATTTTGAATTGTTTTTGTTTTCAATACACACGTGCATTCAAGTGCACGGGCTAATTTGATCAACTAGAATAGAGAAATAATGAATGATTACAGTGTGCTTATGCCTTAGTCAATTCCAAGCATACATATCAATATTTAATAATGTTAATATTTATTGATTTGTATTGCGCAAATATCAATCCAGGGAAAGGAATTTTCATCTGCGGATAACATTGACTCAACAAAATCCTAAAATCCTAGTACATATTTGAAAAGTTTTATTTACAGATCGTTCCTGAAAATTAGTAAAAATAACAATTTAAATATAGAAATTAATCTTTAAAATCCTATATACAAATCCTTCTTAATAAAGAGAATAAAAACAATAAATTAGGTGGGAAACGCCTTCTGAAATAAATGAGTTTTAAGAGCCTTCTTGAAAGCATTAACTGAAGATATATTTCTAATAAAAAGGGGAAGAGCGTTCCATAATTTAGGGGCAGCCATATAAAAAGATCGATCACCAAGCGTGGAAAGAGACATATCCACTTCAACCCAACCCCCCGGGTAGTTGTTAAGTCTTGTGTTCTCACTGTGAGGCATTTGGCATCAAAGGGGTACCCGGGGATGGGCAACATGTCAAGATTTGACAATTTCTCTTCAAATTCTTCGCAAAGCTTCCCAAACTGGCTTCCACGGCCTTTTTGGCCTTTTCACGCGTTTTTGCAAAATCCGCGAAATTCAGGAATTAGCTCCCACGAAAGTTTCATGTCACACGTATCTCTTTTTTCATCAGGTCACAGGAGAGGCTGGCTACGTAGCTTACAAGACATGCACTCCAATCTTTGATCAACTCCTGCGAGACAAATTTGACAGCAAACACTCAGAGCTGCGAATCATTGATGCGGGAGCTGGGACAGGGATTGTGGGGAAGGTCCTACAGGATCTCGGCTACACCAACATCGACGCCCTCGACATCTCGCAGAAAATGTTAGACGAAGCAAAGAAGTTGAATGTATACAAGAATTTCTTTTGTGCGCCGCTTAGTGAGGAGCCTGTAGCGGAAATCGCAAATGATCAGTACGATGCTCTGATCTGTATTGGTACCCTTACAGTTGGTCACGTTAAGCCACGTGCTTTCGATGAGATTTTGCGCATTGTGAAACCTGGTAAGGAGCTAAGGGTCTGTTTATATAAGGTGAGCCAGCCCCACTGGCAGGGCTGGCCCGCTTTCGATACGGTCTAGTTCGGCTCATGCTTTGTTTCCTCTTAACTGTTTTCGTTGTGCTTATATGAGAAGTGGGGCTGGCCGGCTTGGTCCGTCTGTTAAACTTTGTTCTACATGCTACGATATAATAACGTTTTCATTTATACAATCAGCGTACAGGAAATTTCACAGCACTGAGACGCAATTGCCTTAGATCAGAAAAGATCAGCGATTTTGCTGCTCCTTGATATTTCCGCGGCATTTGATACTGTGGATCACTGTATCTTGCTTTTACGCCTTTCTCGTCGATTTGGAATTAGTGGTACGGCAACCTACCTAAAACCAGTAACTACTTTGCAAAAACGAGTCGTCAGAATAATGACTTTTTCCGACCCTAGATCACATTCTGAGCCATTGCTAAAGTCTCTCAGACTGCTAAAATTCTCTGATACAACTCATCTCGTAACCAAAGAGGTATAGTTTAGGGCTTGTTCCTCGATGTTTTGCACGACAAACAGAAACTGGGGAGCCCATAGCTGTACCCTGTAACTGCTTGCAGTGTTTGCCGTTGTACTGAAAGTGAGTCGAAGTCAAACAGAGGTTGAGTAGGTCCATAATGTCGTCTGTAGGTAGTAGTAGTTCAACAGTAGAGTTCTCAATAGCGTTCTCAGTTCAGTCTAGAGCCAGTTGAAGTGGAATACTGGTGAACAGTGATTTCACGTCAAAGGACACTAGTTTGTGGTCGTCCGGTATTTGTGTTGTCTACTACTATCCGGACTTTGACGAGACAAAAGCAACTAGTTTTCCACTCACCTGACAGCCTACAAGACGAGACTGATTATCTTAACAACGTTTTTAGTAAGACCAATTACAATACGGACTTTGTTAGACGGAACACTCACAGTGATATTGATTCCAACCCTCAGACCAACGTCAACTCTGGCCCTGTTACGACAGCGACTATACCGTACATCAGAGGCACCTCTGAAACTACGCATATTAAAACCTCACAATATACGTGTTGCACACAAACCGATTACACTTTACGACGACTGCTTACTAATGTCAAGGACAAAGACAAACCGGAGAACAGACAGGGAGCAGTATACAAGATCAAATGCTGCGACTGCCAGGCTTCCTACATTGGTGAAACCGGCAGAAACCTTAGCACGCGACTGAACGAACACCAATGAGCGACGAGGAATAGTGACGTCAGCAATCACATTGCTGAGCGCCATTTACAAACGAAACATCAAATTGACTGGGATTCTGCGACATGTATAACGTATTCTACAGACTACTATCAACGTCTTACTTTAGAAAGCTGGTTTACTAACTTAGAATAAACGCCACTGAATCGTAGCCAACAGTTACCAGCGCCGTACAAACGACTTATTTACGAAACCAAGCAAAACTAACTACGAGAGAGCGACTGGAGAACTGACAATTTGACTAATGGCAATAGACGACTGTTTAACTGTGACAATAGACGGATCGAAACGCACCAATTACTAATTACGAGTCTTCATAGCCAATAACATCACGGCTTAACTGACGGACGACCAATATTGACCAATCAGATCAGCAACCAGAGTATAATACAATCAACTGACGTGATACGACTCACTTTAACTCTAAAGAGCGTTATGTAACGTTCGAGACGACATCCCTTAATGATATGGAATTGTGCAAGTGTGGGTTGGAAACCTGTGTATTTGTCACATATTCATGTTTGTGATGAGAGAGTGCTGGCTTCACCAAGAGCGGGTAACTGATTGGAGTTCTTTCGACCAATGTTTGAGTATAGTTCCTCAGGTGACGGCAATGTGAAAATCGGCATTCTATTATCTCCGTAAAATTAGGCTCAGGCATTCGTAAACATCTCCCCTTTGATGGAGCCCAGCTTCTTGTTTAAGCGCTTGTTACAGCAAAGATTGACTATTGTAATTCGTTACTATATGGTTTACCTACAAAACGTGATTAAACAGCTCCAACGGGTGCAGAACGTAGCTGCTTGTGTTGTTACTCTTTCGCCCAAGTTCTGTCATATTACCCCTGTTCTTGGGAATCTCCACTGGCTTCCGATTAATCTTCGGAATGGGATTGAATTTAAAATACTTACTGTTACTTACAAGACTCTCCATGGACTTGCTCGTACTTATATTAAAGATCTTCTTCCAAGTTGCCTCCCGGCAGGGGATCTTATGTCTTCAAAGAAAAATCTGCTTGCCGTACGTGCTTTTAACATAACAGTTATGGCCGTCGTGCTTTTTCTGTTTTTGCCCCGCTTCTTTGGACTAGTCTTCCTCAGCATATTAGGGATGCTGGATCACTGGACATTTTTAAAAGACAGTTGAAAACTGTTCTTTTTTGTTGTTGTTGTTCTTTTCGTTCTTTTTTAAATTGATGACTTGACTGTGGTGCTTTTATATCTTAAATAATTTTTGTAGTTTTTTTTGTAGTTTTTTATTGCGGTTTTTAAATTTTAACTTTTGCTGTAGTTTTAAATTGTTTAAACTTATAAATAGCGCCTGTTGACCCTGGGAAAGGGCGCTTCATAAATGTCTCATTATTGTTATTATTATTATTGTTATTATTATTAATCCAATCAGAATGACGAGCGATGTTTGTTCACTTTTAAGAAAAACAGTTTGTCCCATCAAATTCAGTGCGGTGCACTAGTATCGCGCCAAGTATATCATAGTGTTTGCAGCGCACTCGCTTCGCGGGTTGCTCAGTGGTCATGTGATAAATTGCATATTAAAGGAGACAAATGGAAGTGGGAATAGGAGACCTTCTTATACTTCATCGTCCAAAAAGAAAAGTTGTACAGAGCCTGCAAGACAACTGTATCAGTCCTTGCCTTCCTTACAATTTTTACTAATTGTTCTCGAAAGTTAGTTAGCCTGCGTAGCGGCAAATTTTATGACTTCGGCGTTTTGGAAAGGTTAAAAATAACAGGCTGGTAGAGTGAAGAATGCCTCGCTCCATGCAAGGTAATCCAAGGCAGTCTTGGATTCTGAATTCAAAGCCGATGGCTTCCGGATTCCATGCACTGGATTCTGGATACCTTGTCAACGATTTCTGATACGTCGACAATTTGTATCAAAATATTGTACGCGCGCACTTTCCATGATTTTTTCTTAATTTTCGTTTTTAAACGCAATTTCTTTGATACGAAGGCTTTTTACTTGGCCTAATTCTTGTCGTCAAAGGCGGACTCAAAACTAACCGATATTTCTCTGTCTTTTTGGTTTTAGGTGGTATTATTGGGTTCACTCTTCGAAAAGACGTCTACAACGAGACTGTTGAACACGCTGTTTTCAAAGAAACAACCAAGTTTGGCTACCGCGAAAAAATGGATGAGATAGAAAACGAAAAGAGATGGAAGCTTCTACGATGTGACTTGATAGATTATCATACTTCGATGGATGAATTGCGAGCAAAGTGTTACTCGTTAATGTACCAAGTTCTATGATGGTGGACATTCCATTCTGGCCAAAGCGAGCACTCTCGTAATTTTGTAATTATTTAGCTTATTTGTAAATCAGTAATAAAATGATCAATTTTTAAACGTTTCAATCGGAGGACAATAACAAGCTCAAAACAAAGGATAAATACAGCCGAAATTCGTGTTTGTTCTGAAGTCGAAAAAACGCTGATGAGACAACTTGTTTATTATTTGTTATGAAGTTTTATACGTGTCAGGCAAATGGTAGCCGGTGAGCAAGCTCTCCATTTCGAGTGGCGAGCGAAGCAAGCCGCTAGAGAATGCGCGTGGGAGTACGAGGGACTGGCTGAAAGCGGCGCGCAAGGGCCGAATGAAAGCTCTGCCTAGCGTCTCCTTTTGCGCGCGGCTGGCTTAGGATATTTACTTCCCAAATGGAGAGAGCGTTCTCGGCAATCGGCCAAGTCGCCCGATGGTTATCTCGCTCGAAGTTATGTTGCCCGAATTTTATCAGGTGCAGTACACAAAGAAACAACGTCAAAAATAGAGTGTGTGTAAGATATCTCGTTCTTTCAACCGTCATAAGCAAGCTAACCCAGGGTTCCCGGGGGTATGGGGTGGTGGAGGGAAAATGGGAAGGATAGCTTGCACTCGCGTCTCATAAATTTGAATATCTTCCTTTTTCGCCGCTCCGCTACAGCTCCCCGGGAGGTTTGGGAGAGGTCCGGGATAAATGTGAAGTGAAACCTTCCTCGTTCTTTAAGCGATAATAAGACGAAACAAGCAGGATATTAAAATGTGTAATATCTCGCTCTTTTAGCCTTGATGAAATGAAACAAACGAGATAAATGAATACTACCTATCGCTCTTTATCTTTGATGAGACGAAACAGGCCCTATGAATGTGTAACAGCGATGTTTGAATGTTGTTGAGCATAATAAAATTTCGTGCGACAGAAATCAGCATTTCGGGCGACATAACTGTTTTGCGGCCACATAACTTTGGGTAAGATGACTCTTGGGTGACTTGACCGTAAACCGCTTGCTCCCTGGCTAGGACAGTCACGGTCGACAAGACACTTTCATGACAACAGCAAAGCACTGTTCGTATTGTAACTCAAAAAACTAAGTTCACTTTGAATGAGTAGATGTCCTGATGTATTGGAGTCTTATTGGGCTTGTGCATTTAATATCCGTACCCCTCTCCCCGGGGGTTTGAGGACTTACCTTTTCTTCTTTCCCCTGACGATTTGTAAGTACCGTATTTATTCGAATAAGCGCCCAACCTCGAATTAGCGCCCACCTCGAATAAGCGCCCATCCTAAAGGCAGAAAAAGATAATAAGCGCCCAGCCTCGAATAAGCGCCCACCCCCTCCTCCCCCCAATTCAAACTCAAATAAGCACTCACCCCCACCCCACCCAATTAAGTGAATAAGTTCTAATAAGAGACTTCCTTGAGGACGGAGTTTTCTTCGGAGTATTTTACAGAAACCTTGCTTTGTTACTTCTTCGCATTTTGTTAGTAGCATTTATTATTTTGTTGCAAAATAAACATACTTCACTTGCTGAAAATGGTGAAAATTTAATAAGTGCCCAGTCTCGAATAAGCACCCACCTCGAATAAGCGCCCACTCTCAAGGTCCAAAAATTTAATAAGCGCCCAGGGCGGTTAATCAAATAAATACGGTAAAATTGCACTCACCCAGGAAGACTTCCATAAAATATGGGTCTACCCGGTGAAGAATATGGGTCTACCCCCGAAGAATATAGTTCTACCCCTGTAGAATATGGGTCTTGCCCCTGAAGAATATGGGTCTGCCCCATGAAGAATAAGGGTCTACCCCTCAAGAATATAGGTCTACCCCATGTAGAATATGGGTCTACCCCCTGAAGAATAACGGTCTACCCCTGAAGAATGTGGTTCTACCCCTGTAGAATATGGGTCTACCTGTGAAAGATTTTGTGACAATTAATTTAAGCCTCAGCCCCAAAGAATTCCACAATTTTTACTCTACCCCAAAGGAAATCCTCCAATTGTTTGAACTTACCCCAGAAGAATTCCACTGGTCCTCATCTGAGGGGAGGAGGGGTACGGATACCGTATTTAATGCAATAGTAGCCTGCGAGCAAGCTTGCTTGCAGGCTAATGCAATGGGTCTTTTGCATTAGTTGATCATGTGATCAACTTTCTGAAAACACGAAAACAGTTGTCAGCAGGAACTGAAAAGAGCGTTTCAAAATTAGGTAACCTGTAAATGTTTGGCGGTGTATCCCAAAGGTAGCGATCGCAACCGCAGCTGAAAATTAGAAGGTTTTGTACTTGCCACCCAGTCACCCAGTTGAGTGGTTTTCCATACAAATTTGTACATTTTCAAACTGTTGAAAACATTTTCTGAAGCTTCATGGGACTCAAATCTCCTTACACAACAGGCAATTTGAACCCTTAATAAGTAAGGAAAAGACTCAACGACAGTTCAAAAATGTAGAAATTTACAAGGATTTGTATGGAAGCGTCACTGGGTAAGGGTTGTTTTCCTAATACAAATTCTAATTTTCGGTGGATGTTGCAATCGCTGCTTTTGAGATATACGACCGAGAATTCATGGGTTACTTAATTGTAACTTGTTCTTTACGTTCCTGCTAACCCATCCAAAAACGAACTTTTTTCATGTTTACAGACGGTTGGTCACGTGACCAAAAGGCCTGTAGTACATTCTCTGCTCTTCCTCCATGTTCTGAAGGAAAACCGAGTTTCAACTAAATAAAAATTTTCATAAAATGGAGTTAACTACTTACAGTGAAGAAGTCTTTAGCATTTCCCGATTGTTTTCCTCCAATACATTCCCCTTAGAAAAGTTACAAAACGCTTCGTTTGATTCAAACACGCCGCCAGCTTTTTCGGTTCTTGGGCGCCACTCTCGCTTAGCGCCCGCACCTGAAAGTCGAAGAAAACGCTCGGTTACCAAGACTTTATGTCATGATGGCGGCGAGGTTTGAATGAAAGTTTTACGAAAAGGTGTGTTTAAGGCTTTTCTACAAGGAATTCATCATGATCTATGGAATGAAATAACCAGCAAAGACAAAAGACCACTTCAAAATGTGAGTAATGACTTTCATTTGAGATAAATTTTATGTTTATTTATGCCCTAGTTAGTGGAAAGCCCCGCACCCCAATATACGCATTTAATAGCGAGAGATTTCAGCGGTTTTAGACTGTCACTTTTGCCACGGTATGCGGTATGCGGGGTTTAAGACGCAAGTATCAGCTAGCGGGGACCAATAGCGGGGCTTAGACGGGGATTTCCCCATGACACTATCTTGAATAGGCATAGCATGCATGATCCCAGGGGTACGGGCGCAGAAGCGTACACACATTGCTTCTGACGGGAAATAACTGGAATATTGTTCTGGGTTGGTATATATGCTGGAGGTCTCATGCAACCATTGTCACTTGGAAAGGTTATAAAGTTTGGAATGCCAATTCTGTAACTCAAGATAGATTATTGTGGTAGTTACTAAAACATGGAACGACCTAAAACCACCTAAAACCATCTACAACCACCTAAAACCACCTACAACCACCTCAAAAAATTCAACAACCACCTACAACCATCTACAACCACCTCAAAAACATCTACAACCATTCGCAAACAATCTAAAACCATCTAAAACAGGGTATAAATGTCTGAAATAAGGCGAGACGACAACATGTCACGAACATGAAATACGATAATCGAACAAAACATCCACTTCCCCCTAAAATCTTACTCTCCCTGGTCCCTTGTATCATCTACCATTGGCTTAAGTCATGAAATGAAATGCGAGATCATGCTAAGTATATTAAAAGACTTAAAGAACTTTACAAAATGAACTATCAAGTCACAAAAAAAAAATAAAATAAAATAACAAACTCGTAGTCGAAAGACTGACTTGATCTGGCTTTTTCTACCCTGGGTACCAGTGAGACGTTTTGGTTCACGTTTCATTTGTTTACGCAATGGCACAAGGTAGGGTTTCTCTCTCTCTTGGAGTCTGCTTCACTGCTGTTTTGTTCTGAGGTGGCGGATTACATTTCTAAGAACAAGTTAATTTTTTTAGCATCTCATCCGCCAAACATGTTTGTACTTCCAGGTGACTCCTCTAGATGAACCCTAGTGTCTTTCACACCCATTTCCTGTGTCATCACACAAGGCTAAACTCCCTTGCGTCACGACACAGGAAATGGATACTAGTAGGTGTAATCATTGTTAAAAATGTTATTTTAAAAAATCTATAATGCAATGGATTCAGAAGAAAACAAGTTAAGACGAGCCGAAATTAATAAAAATGGGTTGAAAAATTTTAATAGTGAATGATTGTATTTAAAGTAATTTACCTGGATTTTTATATACCTTTATTATGTTTTGGAACCCAACTTTCACCCCGGCCCTCTTCTTGGGAGTGATGGGATATGCGCGCTTCTTATTTTCGCATTGCTCGTTGTAAATATGTCCCCACTATACTATCTGAGAGCCTGGCACAGGCTAGAGTAGCTGGAACTTTATGAGCTAAAACGGAACGAAAAATTTGGATCACATATTCGGGTCTTCCCTCCCCACCAAGGGATGTTACTGGTAAGAACATTTTGATTCATTTTGCTGAAAAGAATTATCAAATATCATTATATAATGTTTTCTAATTCTTGCAACTGTAAATGGGTTAATAGCTGTATAAAATCAGGCTCTACAAGTGAGACACATTCACACTAGACTAAACGATTCTGCGGGACTATACATACATTTGTGTGAAATTATTTCAGACATTTATACCCTGTTTTAGATGGTTTTAGATTGTTTGCGAGTGTTTGTAGATGTTTTTGAGGTGGTTGTAGATGGTTGTTGAATTTTTTGAGGTGGTTGTAGGTGGTTGTAGATGGTTTTCGGTGGTTTTAGGTGGTTTTAGGTCGTTCCATGTTTTAATAACTACGAGATTATTGTTCAACTTACAATTTTGGCTGTGTGAGAGATGGACAGCATTGTTGATTTACAACTGTTAAAAGTTCAATTCCCCTACGAAAAAAAATCTTGAAATACAGTGAAACCTCTATTAAGCAGACACCCTCTCTTGAGCAGACCCCAAGACAGGTCCCGAAATTAATGTCTTATATTCCCCTTTATAACAAACCCCTATTCAGTGGACACCTCTATTAAGCGGACGCAGACACTAAAATAAATTGTGTTTGGCTAATTTCTATTGTTAAAAACCTCTATTAAGCGGACACCAGACTGAATTGACAATAGTAATGTTGGATTATGTCCTTGAAACACATACTTTAATCGGGGGTATTAAAGATAAATCAATACATTCAGCTGTCAAAAAACTGTAAATGAGACCAATATCCGGCCATATGATTGTCATCCGCGATCAAAGTTCACCTTAAAGTCTTGCACAAAGTACATCACACCTTCCCTAGCTTCCTTATCAACATGGAACTTTATCACAGTACAGAGTAGCCTTTGAATGTTAATAAACATCATAACATCGTTAACAAACAATGCGCAATTTTTAAAACTTCTATCAAGCGGACACCTTCTACTAAGCGGACATTTGTGTAGGTCCCGAAAGGTGTCCGCTTAACATGGGTTTGTATAGCAAGGATTTGCTTCATTTTGAAGGCAGCCCTGGTCTAATGCGCCGTTATTTCGCGGGTATGGGGGTGCAGGGCTTTCCACTGACCATTGCGTTATAACTTAGTTGAAACACAACCATTCTTTGTGGAGTAAATCCATAAGGTGGCTCTTTACCTTTTTGTTAGTACTAATTTAATTGCAGCGTGCTCTTACGTACTATAGACATGTGATAACATAAAATTGAAAGTAAAGTTTTAAAACAGGATATATTCAGTACATTAAAAACGAAGCTCGAGATGGTCTTAACCACCTTTCAGACCTTTGACAGTATAGGTCCAGATACTCATCAGATAATCATATCATCGTCCATCAACTGAAGGGGCCCCAGGACAAGGGATGGCACTTTTTAAAGGCTCCTTTTGAAAGTGCTTAATTTCCCTCCTTGATGGCACAGAGCAATCAAAGTTAAGAAATTCCCTCTCCTTAAAGGGTTTCATATTGAACAACATGAAACCACAGTAAACTTGAGATGTCAATATCTTGAACCAGCTTACCTGGTTACACTGTAGGTTAAAAGGATCTTTTGCTCAAATAAACCTTCTGAGTTTTAGACATTCCTTTGCCATCGCCTTTGTACACTGTAGTTTTGTAAGGTCCCTAATAACTTCAATCCATCTTCTAGTGTGTCATTTATATACTTCTATCTTTTTTCCTTTCCTGTTCTAATTTCTTCCTTGTAAATTACTTTGTGCTTTATGCTTTCCCCTGCCTGCCTCGATTAGCCAATCTACATGTCTGTGCGAGCAGAGGATGTTTGTATGTACATGACTTATATGTTTGAATTTTATTTTGTAACTCATGGAGATCAATAATCTTTAAACTTCAAATTTCAACTTCTTGGATTGAGGAAACAATACCTGAGATCAGCCAGTCTGGCGAGTCCACCATTATTTCCACAATGAGGAGAGTTGTGAGCCTGTGATTATTTGTGTCTATATATCCTTGATCTAAGACCACTTGAAATTAACTTAATTTAGACTTTATACAAAGCCCCTGGTTTTCCCTGTGGTGCAAGGCTGTTGTAAACCAAGTCTTCCTCATTTTTCTCTCTTCTAGGGTAAAAATAATACTTCAAATCCTTCTAAATCCTTACCATATAAAGTGTATTTGCCCAGGGTTCCCTCCCCCCCAACCAGCAAGGGGTATTTTGCAGAATGGCAAGTAACTGCTGAATGCTGAACAGCTCTGAAGTTTAGTGATCAGGGTTAGGAAAGTGAGTGAATCAGGTTCCATTTAGTGTCATTGCACTAGGCAAACTGACCAGAAACTTGATTCAATCAGTTTCTTAACTGTAAGCACTAAACTTACCCCTGCCTGCCAAAAATACCCCCGCTGGCCTTTGACATCTGATCAAATCTGAGATGAGTATGGTAATGGTCAGTGGCAAAAGTGGTACGGGTATTTGGGCTGACATAGCATTCATTCATTCATTCATTTTCTTTATAATTATATTTGATTATTTATTTATTTATTTTTTTGAATTTATTCAATATTTCTAGACAACTTCTACTCTTTTTTTCCACTACAAGAATCCTATAGGGGTCAAATGCATCTAATTTGATATTATTCCAACATTGAACTCTTGTCAGCTTTGTCCCGTGCCTGAGCGTTTGGCTGATTACATTTAATGTTATAGTACAACATGAAAAATGTCAAAATAGACTGTAGCCAGTGAGGACACAGAAAATTGATGGTCAATCCAAAGTTTGCACCTATGTCACTACAGTCAAACCTCGTTAATAGAGGGGCCATAGCAAGTGTCCGTATTAAACGGGTTGAATGTAGAGAAAATGTTAGAGCTCTCTTCCCCCAGGGACTAAGAAAACTGTCCTTAAGAGCAAGGTGTCTGTATAGCCCATTTTCGAGTTCGCTATGACCGCTGAATTAAGGAAGTGAAGACGCATTTTTTACAGCCTTAGCCTCATTCTAAAGTAATATTTTCACAAATTCCAACGAGAAAAAGACCTGTTTATTACTCTGTCTATTGTGTATGTTCAAATTTCAAGCACTTACTTGCCAGAATGTCTGAAAATTTTACTTTAACTCGAGGCTAACCCTGTATGAATGTGTCGTTAATGTTTGTATTCAGTGGTGATATTTAATTCGAAACTGGACTATTAAGCCGGTGTCCAAAAGCGGAGTTTGACTGTACTAACTCTATTCTGCAATGAGCAACCCCACCCTTAGACCTGAGATAATCATGTATTTCCTGAAATCACAGATTGGTGTTAAAGATTGTTTGCCAATTAGCCTTCCTCACGTTTCCTCTTACCCTCTCCTCCCCTCCAACCCCCCTTTCCCTTCCTCACAGACAATTTTTTTCCACACAGTGAATTTCTTTTTATTAACTGTACAAAAGAAACAGTGTAAAAAGCTGAGTTATTGCCATGCTAATTGTACCAGTTATACACGCATATAACACGCGTCTCAGATACTGTGCGTCATATCTTATTTAGACCCAAAGACATTTTATATCCTGTTTATTACTTACAAATCACATTATTGTTGCCTGCAAGCAAAGGACATGATTCCATGTAAGTCTCTCGAATGTCTTGGAATCGTTTGAGCGAAACACAGTTCAAATTGAACAGTTTGTCGTGTTGGTTCCTTCGTCAGTTTCGCTCATCAACATTGGGTTATTAAACATATACATCAGTTTTGAAAGGTCTTTCTGCATGACCAGTATTTCAGACTATAACAAAACAAGAGATAAATATCCAACCATCATTAAAAGACCAACATGTAAGGAATGACGAGTTACTCCGTCGGACATTTTTACCGCCTTCACAGTTGGTTCCTGCTGGCGGGAAGCATTGGTAGGCTGTGGTACTCTTGTGTTGCATAGGGATCCTTTGCAGCAGTCAATGTCACAGCCCAGGGGCTTGCTGTTGACCGTGTAGGCTAACACTAATTTTAAAGAGTCACAGGCCTTTTTCTTGTCTACAAGAAAAGAAAAAGGAATTACACTTGATCAATATCATCTATGACTTGAACTTAATAGAAGAAGCGTTTTCGCTTTATGTAATTTCTCTGAATTGTATTTGAATAAGGGTCGCCAAAAACGGTTCAGAAACTCTCAGTTCTTGGTTCGGTCAGGCGCAGATTTCATTTAAAAATTGATAGTCACAAGTGCGCGAATGAAAATAATGCGTTAAGTCACGCTAAAACTTGTCTTTACGTCGGTTGAATTAAAAAATTAATTGTCCATTTTATCGCTAGGACGGTTGTGACAAAAAGCCTGTTATTTTGTTTTGCTATCGACTTCTGCTATAATAGGAGAGGCCGCAAACTGACTAGCCTGCGAAGCGCAGACGCATTTCCGGTCGTCGCTTCTCTCCCTCCGAAAAATAGCGTCTGCGAACCCGAGCAGCAAAACGATTTCCATGACGTAGAACCTTTTTAGCCAATCACAATTTAGCTCTTAAAATCAAGGAACTAACTCGCGAGTCTCCTCGCAAGATCGTGCGCGGTGCCGTTGGATATGTTTTTGAAAGGACAAAGTAGCCTGTACAGCTGCCCTTTTTCCTCAGAACGACGCGTTCACGAAAGTTTGTTTGCCTGGATGGTAGGACTGATTGATGAAGTAAGCATAAAGAGGATTCATATTGAAGAAAAGATCACAGGAAATTTTATGCCTACGGAGTCAATGATTTATCACACCTAGTTGTTTTGATCACATTTGAAAAGATAAATGTCCTAACGACAGTATCGCATCATGCCGTTTGTTGCTTCTGTTCCTTTCTGGTTCCTCGCAGGAAAGTATGCTTTGGAGAACTCTTCGATAGTTTGTTGCTTGCCGCTACAGATATTTTTAAGTATCTTTAATTATCTTGAAAGCTAGGACATTTGGTAATTGATTTCCCATGCGTGGTTGCTTCTTGTTTCAGACAGAACTTTGATCAGATCGAAAGCATTTTATATTTGCTCTTATATTTCATTAAATACATGTTCTTTTCAAAATTTTAACTTCCATAGCTTTTTATAAGATGAGTCGAAGCGTCGTAGCTGAAATGTCATCATGACTATGATCAATTTACTGTTGTATATATTTTTTTCACGCTGGGTTCGGCCCTCAGATCATTGTCTTGTGGCGATACTTTTGGGATTTTGAATTATTAACGAGCGATTATAAGAGATTTCTGAATCAGTCAAGGATGTGTCTGTGTCTGTAGGATCGATTCACCACCTTTTGTCAGCGCTGGTTAAATTGAAATAAATCGCCCGTCTGAGCGTGATGTCATTAAGCTATTTTATTTTCCTTTCGCTGTAGCGATTATTTTGTCCACGTTTTGTTTATGTCACGTACTACCATATTTTATGAAGCGAAATTAAACGGCCCATATCACATACATAGCTTGAGAAGCCGTTGCTTCATAAAGAAGTCATCATTCAACGTCGCAGGAAACCTTGTTACAGTCGTGAAATTCACGTTCCAAAGCGTGTTTGGTAACTCTCGCCAAAATCCAAGACACGCTAGTGCGCGAGGTCGCGAGGGGGCACGCGAGCTGTATTCTATCCTTTGGTCTGATTGGCCAACATCAAAACAAAAGGTTCACGTCATGGAAATCGTTTTGCTGCTCGGGTTCGCAGACGCTATTTTTCGGAGGCAGAGAAGCGACGACCGGAAATGCGTCTGCGCTTCGCAGGCTACAAACTGACCTGAAATGACCTTCTGACGTTAAGGTGTTCCATCGGAAGTTTTCAAAAGTGGACCGCAAAATTAATGAACCTTTAATTATTTAATTGGATCTTAATAAATAAAGAGGTATCAAACTGTCTGTGTCACGGAGACAGACTGCTCAAGTGGTGTATTATTGAATGAATTGCAAATAAACAAGCTGTGAACGAGCGATCGGATTTGTGAATAAATTACAGGGAAGGCGGAAGTCTCCTCTAGAAGATGCGACCGGTGCCAAGTACACCTCAAAACTAAGAAAAATCCGCCGGATTTGACTTGGACGTGACCGCGAATCCCGGTACTGAAGGCTTTTCTTCAACCAAAAAAAAGTGTATCTGCGCAAGGAAAAAGTCTAGGGCCCGGTTCCTGAAAGGCCGATTAGCGCTAATCCGGGATTAAAATTTTGTCCCACTTTTTGTATTTATCTTTCTATATGGAAGGGCTCCGCCTGGGGCCGAACCCATAAGTCAACCTGTTACATACCATTTTTGTCAGGAAAGATATTAACCTTTTCGTGTACCTTCTATTGACAAATGGTACGCCTTTCACATGCCTAGTTTTTAAATTTGCGTCCCTTTAACTGCTGTAAATGGACCGTCTTTTAAATATGAATAAATAACGTTTTTCCAACTTTTTCACAGCCATAAAATACGTCTTTAGCCCTTTGTCCTTTTTACGACCGAAATGACAGATTTTCCTACCCTTTCGTTTTATTTCAACTAGTGAAATCCCTACCCTTCTATATACCTGAAGCCTGAAAAAGGTAACCCTTTCGGGCCGAGCCTCCCCTGATAGGCTGTTATAGGGAGTACCCCCGGTATCAGAATGGAGGGAAGGACGCTATGTAAATAAGCAATTTAGGTTCTTAGAGCGTTGATATATTGCACTTCACAAAGAGATATATAATTTTAATATATCTTCGTACCTGAGCAGTCGATGCATCCCCTAGCCATAACTTCTAAAATTGCAGTGCCATTGTCATATTTTCCGCTTGCCGAAAAGCAGTGAGAGTTTCCCAGAAGTGTGGCATCATTGCATGCGTTTTCTTTTTGTCTTTGTTGGCAATCATTCCAGCTTCTTTCAATGCACTGATAACATCTAATTGCGTCTAAACATGGCAAGCAAACAAATGAGGACTTTATTGACTTTATCTTCGACATGAAGATTCCAGTACCAAAACAATTATATATTAACTGCAACCAGATTAAGTAAAGTTAAAGGAAGAGGAAAAGGAACATCTGCAACAACAACACAGAAATAATATGGATATATTTTACGGTTTCTAAAGCTACTTGGTAATGGTAAGTGGTAAGAGAAATCTGCATTTTGCTGGTACGAGCCGAAATCGTGTTTCACGACGAACTCTTCTTTGACTCCCTTATAATAAGTGGGTGTTAAAAAGGATTATTGATTTTACGTGTCGCAGATGTACTCTTTAGTTCCATTTTATCTATCAAATCCTCTCCCCGACATGCCCTTGAGTTTACATCCTCGACGCCCTGATCTTAATCCTATCTGACTTGTGGTTTTGTCAAGATAGCTCTTGTGTCTGCTTTATCGGAAAGGCGAATCTTTACCCAGAAATCTACAAAATTAGTGCTTTGGCCTGTTTCAAACGCGTGCTACTGTCGTGCCGAACTCAATTGATCGAATTAAATTCGAGTTTGGCACCACGGTTGCACGACGTTTGAAACCAATTCGTGCCACGCCCGTCTAGCACGGCACGCTTGGCTGTTCTACACGGCAGTAGCACGACTTGCTTTCAAACGTCGGGCAACTGCCATGCCGAGCTCAATTCATATATTATAAATACATTAGAATACATTTTAAGAGTTCCCTAAACCGCTTATTATTTTTGATCAAAAGCTATTTTATGCGACTGAGTTAAATTCGAGGTCTGCAACCAAGTCAGAGTGCTACAGTCGTGCTGAATTCGAGCCAGCTTTGAACGTCAGTACCACAACGTTTGAAACAGGCCTTAGTGAGTTCCTGTAAACGTTTACATCTGCAGATGCTTGTATTTTTAGACCATAATATGGCAGTTTTGAGCCACTTGCCGACCACGTGATCAAGACAAACTTGCCACTGAAACACGTGCGTGGTGAAAAACGCCCCTTCTTCCAGTGGAGAGTGCTAAATATGTGCTTGGCTTTGCAACATGACAGGTTCAGGGGCACCCAACGTCAATTTTCGGAAAATATCTGTTCGGAGGACGATTTGAGATCTAGAATTTTCGGAACATTTGTTTTAAAATTTCTTGCTTGCCTGCCCCTCCTAGGATTTTGGAACATCTAAGGAATGGTATAATTGCCCATTTTTACCCTAAAAAGGTCAGCTAGAATTTTTGAGAGCCTTTTCTCTGGCTGAAATTTTCGAAAAGGTAAGTTTTGATCCCTATAAGTTTCGGATCACTAGGAAATCCGAACAGATGAAAAATATTTAGGGAATAAAAATATGCCTATATCTACCCTTTAAATACTAAATTACGTTTAACAATGCTATGTTTAAGTGGTTTTGAACTATATCCTCGTTGGGTGCCCCTTCAGGTTGACCTGAGAAAATTTTTTATCCATCGTGTTTCCAGGCGTTTGTTATAGAAGCTGGTTGGGCCAATTCTCCTCGCTAATATGACCGACTGAGCAATTTATCGATCACAAGTCTAGAAACTGAATCAATAGGAACTGTTGGCTTCAAAGATAAGAAAACGATTTTCCAAAAGCGGTGTCGAATTTAAGTTTTCGAAAATTTTAGCGCGGAAATTATAAACTGGAGAAATCAAGTGGTTTCCTTCAGAAGCCGACATATTTTTATGACATTTTTGAGAGGCCCCTAAACTTCGCTAAAGCTCGCCGAATTCGGTGAACTTTACCGAAAGCCGGCGAAAAGAAAAACATCTGGCTTAGAATCTTTCGCAATTTAATCTGATTGTTGGTTTCCAGCAATCGCCTGTTTTGCGTTTTCGCGAGCACGTCTAAAAAGCTTTTTGTTATTTATTTTTTCTAAAATTATCCTATTTTGCCAACTATTTCTTCTGCCGTTCTGCAAGCCTTACTATGCTCTGATGGAGCTCGCTTTCTTAAGTTTAAGGGAGGCGGTGTATGTTCTAAGACCCAACCGCCGTCCAACGTCCGATCCGATGGCCGACATCGGATTACCGGAAATGCTAAGCGGATTATAGATATGGCCCCTAAAATTAACTTGGCTTGAGAAAACATCTCCTTGATACCTTCTCGCCGCGGACTTAAAGGGTTCCAGAAAGAAAAAAAGAGAGAGAGAGAGAGAGAAATTCCGGAACAGCAAAGCAAAAACCAGTATTTTCTAGTAGTTCGGAAAAATGGGAAATAAAAAGCGCGAGAGTCAAAGTCATGATCAGTCATTGGTGTGTAGTTTCCTACAATCTACCACTTTAAAAAATACTGGTTGGAATTTGTGTCCAAAATTGACGGAGTGAAAATAGTAAGTAAAAGGGAGCGTAGAACAAGAGGCCACCGGGCATCTTGTATATTTTATCGCAAGAGCGATCTCTCAGGAATGTTGCAAATTAGGCTAAAATAGTATTTGTCAAAAGGCTTTTAGCAATCAGCAAATGGCGTCCATTAAAACAAATCCATGTTATGAAGGTTAAGCAAAGGTCTGCTCGCTAATTGTCAAAGATAAAAGAATATTCATTTCATTCATCGTCGTACATTGTCTTTGGAATGCCTTATCGTTATCTGGCGTGAGATGCTTTAGCCGATCAAAGTTCCATATTCAAACGCAAAGGAAAGCTAGTCTTTTACAAATAATAGAAGAACTAAAACAGGGAAAATATAAATAAATTAAAGAAACAGTAACAGAATGTATGTCATTTTAAAAGTCTTAATAAAGTGGATCATTGATTCCAACTCGGCTCGTTTTCCTGGAGACACCGATAATGGCTCATATAGCGACCGCAAACTAGCCCACCAAAGTCTGCAACGTTTTAGAACCTCATAAAGCTCTTCAATTCACCAAAGCTACGGTAACTCACCTGTCAAAATAGATGTATTTAAAAGCAACGAGGCCACCACAAACGCGAAATTCATTCTGAGACGGTGAGTATCTTGTATTATTCCACTGTCAGTGCTCTTCTCTCCGTCATCGCTCGCGATCTCAAGTCTCGCGTCACCCCAGAATGTAGTTATTAAAAAGAAATTGCAACCATTCGGTGTTTTCGACGATTTAAGATAACACCAGCACTATTATCACCACAATTGTCGGCAAATTGGCCTCTCTTAATTTGTCCTCCAGGGGAATTAAAATGCCCTTTAAATTTCAACGCTCCAAGGATCAAATTCATGATTTTAAATACATTCTCGGCTTATCTATCCCCAAGTCACCTGATATGTAAATATTTTTTTTGTGCGTGAATACTACTCAAGAGCTTCCTGCTTGGCTGTCTCTTTTTAGTTCTATTTTCAACCACTGGAAACTGTACAAAAATTATCAAATTCGGGACAAATTTGTACTTGTTTAATACGAGAAGATATATCGCTTGCAATTCCGCTGGATGTTATGAAAACCAAAAACCGCGAATATATCTATTGCAAAGCTGAAAGAAAAATATATTGTTAGACAGACAGACAGACATTTGACAACTTACAATGACTAAAGAACGACGACAGCAAAGGAAAGCAAACAGAAAAAGCGAAATTGAATAAATTTCCAAATAAATATTGTCAGGACAACGCGCATCCGGCGCCCACAATCTGAAAAATGTGAACGGCTTGGTGAATAACTTTTTGCAAATGATCACATTTCTATGGACTGCACTGACAGAGCAGACCCGCCTGTTGTGAAAAACCAGGGAAGGTGTGCCAAAACTTAAGGTATCATATCTCGATGATTGAATCCATGGTCTTTTGGTCAGTAAGGGTTTAGATTTTATTTCAGATGAAACGTTAGCGTGTCCACATATTTTTGCTTATTAAAGGTTAAGTATCCGAGCCCTTGCAAATGCAGAAGAAACGAAACGCTATCCTTATAGTCAATATCGCGCTGGGGTTAAGGATTCCGTCAGAGGATTGTCCTCTCGGCCTTCTCACTCACGGACGTGATATAAAAACTAATGAAGTTTAAATCCTTGTAATCCTGCAATTAATGTGTGTGTAATCTTTTGATCCAATTTAGGTGTATACCGATTTGACGATGAGGTCAGTTTCATGTATATGCGGGTGGTGGGGATCTACATCGCATCAGGCTCAAAGTTTGTCGGGGCAAAGTCGAGACAAGCGATATGAAAACTGCCCATCGAAAAAAGAGAAAGAAAGAAAAGGAAAGAAAAAAAAAAAGAATGAAATGGACATGACCTTGGGAGAGACGGGTGGCTGACAATGCTGAACAGAAGGTGGCTGTGGTGTAGTTGATGGTGCAACCAATGGAAGACAGTTTCTGGGTAACGGAAGGCTGCGTTACGTAGGTAGGTCTCCGCTAAAAAAAGAGGATACTTGGGGACTTCGGCTAAGGCTTTCCACAAGTTGCTCGAGATTTTCCAAAACGTTTCCCGTAATTTCTCAAAACGTTGCCCAAAAAACAATCAAAAGTGGCTTTTTGTAAGTAACGAGAGTTGCTCAAAAGTTGCTCGAAAAAAGCAAAAACTTGTCTTGGTCTGATGCTAAAATTTGCAAACTGCAACTTGTACAACTTACAAAAGTGAGATTTCTGAGCATTTTTGTGCAATTCTGCGGCGTAACCAGCGTTACTAAGTAACTTTGTCCTCAATTAAAACCAAAAAATGTAATGAGCCAATAAAATTAATGAATAACTTTCCTCACCAGAGACACTCGAGTCAGTCGAGTGTGAATCTTCGTCCACCGTTTTGAATTTTCTCTAAAAACCCCTGACCTATTCTACTAGCCCGGCTACTTTTATCTTGCGCCCATGATATGCCCCAGGGGGAAGGATTTGGCTCATTTTTTAGACCTTTTTACAGGAAATTCATAAATTGTCTACTAAAATATTGCCGGAAATATGAAGGAAAGCAACCTAGAGGACCTGGGAACGAGGCTGGAAGGAAAGGCCCCAATTTAAGCACTAAAAGCTGCTCCGATATCTCAGAATTAGAGGATAACTATAGAAATTGTTCAGAATGCAAAAAGTTGCTCGAAGCGAAAAAATTGCTCGAAATACAAGAAGTTGCCAAAAAGTTGCCGAGTAACTTGTGGAAAGCCCTAACTTCGGCAAATTGTAAATCACAGCTGCAGAAATTTGTGCCAAATTAACGAGTAATTTATGGATCATTTTAGGTTTCCGGGGAACTGCCCAACTACTCCTCCCCTAAGCCAACATTTTGCCCTGAATGAGAAGTGGAATGGCTTAAGGGAGTGGTAGGTGGGCAGTTTCCCAGAAACCTAATCACTCGCGAGAGCAGCTTCGCAAATTATTGAAACCGAAGAATGTTTTCTCGTAAAAGGTTCATTCCAAAGGATTGGTTTGGGACACCAACATGGCCGTTGTTTCATTGTTTTAGAACTCCAAAAAGTGGCAGACGTGACGTCATGTGAAAGCATTCTATATAATCATAATTAATTCAATGAGAGCCTGAAATAGACCAAATCTTTTGTTCTTTTATATCATGATCAACAACAAGATTTTGGTGCATCGTCCCACGATTCTTGACGACTAAAAACTACATGTAGCCCACGTTCGAAATATGAGCATCGGCGAGCATCGACATTGTTGCGTAACATTCGATTTATAAGGATTTGTAGCGGGAAAAAACCTGTCGTTTCAATTCTGTAACCTATGAAAGTGAAACGATTTCAATAAAAAACAGCTTAACTTACACAAAATGTGTGTTACGTCTCTCCTGTGTGGTCCATGGGCCAGTTTAACCATTAATACTAAACTCGTTCCCAGGGTTCTCTCCTACCCATCCCTACTGAGCGAGAGAGAGAGACGGGTAGGAGAGAGAACAATCCTTAAAATGGCCGTGAACATAAAGGATTTGTATAGAAATTCAGGTAAAAGATTCAAGAATATAAATACTCGCTAGAATTTTCAATAAAATACACCTTAACTAATTTACTTTAAAAACTATGAAAGGTTTGAACCCACGAGTCATTTCAAAAGTAGCTTGAGTTTGATTTTAATTGAGTTTAATTTACTTTACTTGTTTTTGCTTGCTGTGCGGTTATTTTCCCGATCCATTGCGATTTAAGCGATTTCCTTCAACCCCAAGTGTATTTTATTGAAAATTGTAGAAAAATTTTGAAGGAACTTTAAAGGAACTTGTGACAATAAAGGAGAACTCTAGATACAATCTACGGTCCAAAACAAAAATGGACTTCCTCTTGAATTACCATGCATTAAGTCAAAAAAGACACTAGGTGTTGGCACCTTTAAAATGGCAGTTCCGGCCGTACGGAACAAATTGCCGAACAATGTACATCAATATACGTAACGAAACTAATTTTAGCAAATTAAATCTTCGCTTACGAGTTGTTTTTTTTTATCAATTTAACTTCTAATTAGGATCTTAAATTCATACTTTACATTTAATGTTATTAATGCATACATATACTTCAACCTTATTTACGCGCCTTTGTAGTTAATGGCCGTTTTTATGCTAGAGACGTTAAAGTCGTCTGAGACGTTAAAGTCGTCTTAAGACGACTTTAACGTCTAGTATAAAAACGGTAAATAAGGCAGACGACTTTAACGTCTGACGACTTTAACGTCTTCTGTTAAGTGCGTCCGAACGACGCACTTAACAGACGACTTTAACGTCTCAGACGTTAAAGTCGTCTGGTATAAAGACGGGACGTCGTAAACTAGGAAGTTTGCTAGCTTGAAGTTCATATTTGGCGCCGCTTTAACTCGTGTCCAGTGTCTTCCGAGAGTAGAGCCTAGTCCTTTTTTCAGAAAAATCTACTTCTTTAAATAAGGTCGTCTACTTTTGTGCGTCCCGTTCTTACACTAGACGACTTTAACGTCTCAGACGTTAAATGCGTCTAGACGACTTTAACGTCTCTAGCATAAAAACGGCCAATGTATGTTTCATTTACATCATTTTTTAAGTTAATTATTTGTATCGCTCATTTGATCATATTCATATAGATATTTGCGCGCTATAAATTTTTAAATTATTTTATTGTTATCATTATTACAGCTCATCAAACGCAACGTAACATTGTAATCTGGGTACTAAATACACGTCTCTCTGAATAAGGTTTTGGAATTGTTGATGATGTGCTTGATTGTAAAGACGCTTGCCTTACACACGTCATTAATTTAAAATTTGTTGTTTAGGCGTGAACTCCTCAGAACATCTAAACTTTTTTAACATATTCCGCGTTACCGTTGTTGTAAACAATAAGTTGTAAAGAAAGTAATGAAGTTTGCCGTCTACATCAACTTCAGCTGCATCGTGGGCTTAATTTAAGAAAACCTCTATTAAGCGGTCTTCTGGCTAATTTCCGAGGGTGACCGTTTAATAGAGGTTAGACTGTATTACCAAGACAACGCGGTGCATATGGAATAATCATTCGTAAATCCCGAGTCAATAAACCGCACAATAAGGAATCTTTTTTACATAAATGCATAAACGTTTTTGTAACAAAAATCGTTGGGCACTAAAGTCGCTTTGGGCAACGTCTTTTCAACATGGCAGACCTTAAATTAGTGTCGAATGTTACTGAGTGAATTTGGATTGTAAAAGTTCAGTCGCCTTGAGAGTCTAAAACAGGAACCGGCGATCTTTTCGGAATGAACTGAAGCTTAATAGCTCTCCATCGGCAACCTAACGAAACGACGTTCGTTTAGCAGTATGCAGATGACTTAGATTCACCTTTTTGTTGAATATCAGCTAGCAGGTTAGTTTAAATTGATTCTTTGGCTGTTACTTAAGAATTTGTTTTGCATTAGTTAGCTTCGTACTAGAAACAAAATACTTTTGGCCCACACGGGGCTGAGGAAACGGGGACAAAGTATACTGCAATCACAGTAACCTTTTGACTGATAGGCGCAATTGATATAAATAAATATGATATTTTTATAGCAATGAAACACTACAAAGCTTTTTTCTTTAACTTCAGTGTAACATGAACCTACCAACCTCTAGCCAAGAAAAAAAATGTGTTAACGACATTTTAAATTTTTAAATGTAAAAAAATTAATTTTTAAATTTTAAATTTTCATCAAGAGCAATGTTCGTATTAAACTTCGAAAGATGAGGATTGACTAAGTGTCAATTTATACAGCTGGTATGGCCAAATATTAATGAGGTTTATGCATAATGGACAAGAAGCAATCTAACTTCTTTCATGTGCAAGTCATTAACCTCGCAAACTAAAATATATAACCCCCGGTAAACACCATGAACGTTTTATA